GTAGTACAAAAAATTCTAACGGGATATTTTTTTAAAACAGAAAGCAAAAAAGAGGAGTGCATGATGGATATTTACTTACTTATTAGTAGAAAACAAAACTTACAAATATCTTCTATCGTTTGTCAACTACTACTCTTTATTGCACATGCAGCTTGTGGACGACTCTGTGACTCAGGTAAAGACAATTAGGCTATATAAATTTAAAACCAAAGCAGTATTTTAAAAAGAGTATTAAAATAGGGCCAAATGTTTTTGATAGGGGACCGTGCCCCTGTAAACGCCCCTGGAACGGTTTAACAATTCATCGAATAAGAACTCCGATTAATTTCAGCGGATCGCTTTGCTTAAATGGTCCGATTCATTTCTGTAATCGCTGCAACCGCTTCAATGCTCTACGCCCAAAGATCTCACTTACAGGGAATTTACAACATCAAAGCGAATCGGTTCAAATGATCCGAGTCAACCGGTTGAAAGAAATGATTCGTTCGCGAATCGGACATCACCACAGCACGCACACACAGACCCCTCCTCTCCCGGGAGCGCCGCTGCTGCGCCACAGCTGCCCCGCACTCATTTACTCCCAGATGCGTGACAGTCTCCAGAGAATCTGCCATTAATGTTTGCAGAACTGCGACACAACTTTACAGCATGCGCGTGCTTTCAAATGCACCATGCTTTACAGTGCACAAGAGGAAGCTGATAAAATTGATGTTTAACAAGGAAACACGTCAATTCCACTTAAAAAAGTACCATGTTACATCTTACTCCCCTAAAGAGGTTTACTACTGTTTACTACAAATAATACCATGGTAAACATGTCCCCCCCAAAAAAAAGGTCAATGGCCAATATAATGCCATAATGTGCATTTTTTTAGTTTTTGCCATTACAAATTAAAATTCTGTCAGATCTCAATAAGTAAGCAACAAGGAGTTAAAATGCATCTCTTTCGGCAATCATGTGATGCACATGTGGGCTAATCCATATTCCAACAGCAATGAGCAATTGAACAAGACTGTTTTTGTGCCAGCTGGTTGATGTATCTTAGACTGAAATGAGCACAGTCAATAAGTGCAATAATAATTCTGAGCCAGCCATTTAGCTCCCTCTGCATTTTAATAGTGCCACGTACTGACCACAGTCACTCATGACTGACCTTCATATGTCCATATGCTGAAAAACACAGCCAGTGCCACAGGGCAAAATCTGTGCTCTCAACTTCAGTGTACACACTGAACAATATGCATCAGACAGGCATGTGCTTTAGAGATTTGGTTTTGCGAAAAAAATAGACATTTGGAAGAGAACAACTGGACAAATAAGTTGCAATCCACATAATCACCACTGAACAAATCAGTAACAATGATACTATAATAAACTATTTAAATATTTGATTTCAGTTATTTTTTTTGTTTTTTTGAAATGATGATTTCAGTTCTGATTTTGGTCACAACACCATGTCTAAAGTAAAATCTGGGTCCTAAAGGAAAACCAGTTGAGAATCACTAAATGTCATGCCAAGTGCTAAATGATAATTAGAAGAATTCACAGTGCTGTCTTCAAATGCAATGACACTTTCATTCACAGCATTGGTTTCCTTTTCCTGCTGCATTTAGGCAGAAACACATTGCTCTTTCATGACTATGCAAAGCGCCGTTAGGGACAACATGCACAGATGTTTGGGATCTTTCAAGGGCTAAGCATTCACGGACTAAGCTTCTGCATTCTTGCAGAACTTCTAATCGCATTTTACGGTGAATTTTGATTATCTAATAAAGTTTTATCTGCCGGGTGCAGGAGGTGCAGTGCTACCGAAATGGTAACTCTAGCATCATCACATGGAATGTTACAGGAGCATCTAGAGGCAGAAAAAGAGAGATTGAAGGTCAATGATAGTGATATCAGAGTGGGACAAGGTCAGCTAGCTCAGAGACAGAGCTGCCAGACAGACCAGGCCTGAAAACCACAATGTGCCTTATGAAAGATCTCTTTATATTCTTGCATAGCCAGAGTTTTAACTCACAGCATAACAGTCTTGTCTAGATTGCAGCTTATTCTGGCCAAGAATCGCCCACTTAGTCTGATTTAAAGTAAAGACACCAACCAGAGTCTGTTTTGCTTTTACATTCCACTTCAGAATGGAAACTAAATAGCTTTAAAAAATCATTTTAATAGTGCTGTGGTAAATAATGATCTCAGCAAAAGTGGTTAAAAAATTTCACAAAATATTTATAGATTTATATCTGACCAAAAATTAATTCTAATTCTCTGCCTCAAAACAAACTCTTTGAGTATTTCTTAATTGGTTTGATGTCACTAAGTATGCAAAGTTGCATAAAGCGAGTACTTGCTGTAATTTTATTTTTGATATTAAACACATAAAGGCATAAATTAAACATATAGTTTAAAGGAAAATCTGACATTTTTGACACATAACAGCATATACCACCATTGAAAAGTTTGGGGTTGGTAATACATTTATTTAAATTAAATTCATTCTTTTATTTAGCAAGGATGCATTAAATTGATAAAAAGTGACAGTAAAGATTTTATATTTTTACAAAGAATTCTATTTCAAATAAATCCCATTTCTTTTGAACTTCTTTTGAAAAAAAAAATCAAAAAATATGCATCACAGTTTCTACAAAAATATTAAGCAGAACAATTGTTTTCAACGTTGATAATAATAAGAAATTATGAGTTATGGCTGCTAAAAAAATAGCTTACCCATCACAGAAATTAATAACATTTTAAAATATATTAATACTAATATTTTAAATTGTAATAATATTTCACTATATTACTTTATTTTTGGTCAAATAAATGCAGCCTTGAAGATAAAACATGTTTTTAAAAAAATTATACAGAATCCAAACTGTAGTGTACACCCATCTAACATCCATCTGAGCTAAAAAAAAATAAAATAAAAATAAAATACATGCAGATGGGCAAAAAAACACATGTTGACGTGCATAATGACTTAAACCATCCTGAATAAATCTGATGTATTCAGACCCAGAAACACTATATAAAGATAATACATGACCGTCAAATGTACAATGTAAATAGTCATTCTCAGTTGCTCTGCTGTAATATCAGGGGCAGGAAGAGATTTTTGGTGTGCTGAACATGTAGCTAATATTTTGCCTTCTGGCCCTTTGACCTGGTTTAAAGTGGAGCACACTTGCAGACTTGCATATTACGCTGACAGAGTATACAATCGGGCCAGTGCAGAAGTTCAGAAGTCCTAAAGTTTATTGGCCGGATGTAATTAAAATATCATCACATGATACGGCCTGAAAGAGAAGCCCCCGCTGCCTGGATTATCTCTAATAACAGCTGCATAATGGGACGCGGGGAGGGCCACATATCGGAATGCCGCAGTGAGCGTGCCACTCATTTATAACATAACTGGTGACGCTGGGAAGGTCCCAATGACCACCTGTTCAATAGCTGTGCAGCTTTATGGGTTTTATGATTACAGTCTTGTGGAATGTTAATCAGTCTGGAGATCTGGAATATATACCTACAGACATCGATTTCCTTTTTCTTGAAATACTGACATGGATACTGGCAGAGGAATGTAGATGTGCATTTTTGAGCTCGGAAGAAGAGAACACTACCTCTTTTTTTCTGCATGATCAGTATCAAAGACATATGGAGTGGAATAGAAAGTGTACAGAAACTAGGCAGCGTTATGTAGTCGAGTGATCTTCTGGGAAGTAGGGAAACCTGTGTATTCGGTTTCTCTAAAACGTCCTGTGTCCGCCACATGAACCAATCCACTGCAAATGACTTTGGTGGGGGACTGGAGCTTATCAGCACATTGCACACAAGCTCCCTGCTGCGAAGCTTCCGACTTCTAACTTCCAACTGGAGCATAATTATATGGCAACTACAGTCAGAACTGATTTTTAAAAGAAACAGTTCAAATTTAAATTCTGCCATCATTTACGGTTCCAAACCTGTAAACCTGTCCACAGTGTTTTTTCCATACAATAAGAATGTACAGTCTAACTAGGGCCTGTCCATCTCCAAAAAAGCACCAAAACAAGAAATGTATACTTCAAGTCTTCTGAAGCAATGCTGAACTATTAAAAATATATATTAAAAATGTGTTAAAATATATACTAATAAAATATAAATATTGGACAAAAAAACAACAACGGCTTATTCAAAAAGAGAGAGAAATGTTGCCCTGGTAACTGAAATAAATACGTTTAATTTAAAGTACTAAAATTACTAAAACTAAAACTGTAATAAAGATAAATAACTTAATTAGAAATAAATATTAAAAAAAATGTTAATGATGGAAGAGCATCAAAATTACTAAAATTATTTTTATACAGAAAGTAATTTTAATAAAAAAATGACTAAAATTAAACATTTAATTAAAATGAAAACTGATAATACAAAAATAAAAGTTAATTCAAAATATTAATAAAAATACATAAATAATACTAAAATAACACTGTTCTGAAGCCATAAGTAGCTTTGTGTGAGGAAAAGACCCCTTGTTACTCATTGCAATCAGTTATAAGATATGTGAAAACAAATGACATTGATCATGTTTAAGTGCGTTTACATGCGCAAAATGGCAGCACTCACTTATAATAAACGATATCTCTAATTTTCTCATAGATGACTCAAGAATCATGAAAGCTTTCTCTTAGCAAACCAGCAGACAAGTATTGCATATTATTATTACATACTAATTTTATAATGAGTTGTATATAGAGTAAGTGTACAGAAATACCTAACTGTAAGTTATCTGCACTTTCAATATCAAGGACAATATGACAACAGATGATACATCCAAAATGTTGTCAAGTGTACAGGCCCAAAGATAATTTAATTAAAGCTCAAATTAAGGAAAAGTGGGCCAAGAAGCCAATGAAAACACAAAAATGGCCAACTGATAAAAGGGCTTTTTAAGTAATTTCTAATCTTTCACTCCAAAAACAAAAGCAGATTTGCATCAAAAGTGTGCTTTTATGGCTTGATACATTAATAGAAACTACACACATTTACTGCACGAAAAGTAGAGCATTGCTCACTTAAGTGTTGAACTTGTGTTTTGGCTACACAGTTTCACCGTAATTACGTGAAGCCTCAGTGAGCAGCCCTCATTACGAGTCTTAAACAGTCCAGAAGCAAAGTGTGACTGAGAACAGCATGAATGGGAACGTACCCCATTCTCGCAGGGCTTGTCCGAGTTCCCCTTGCTCTTCCTGTCGGCCTGCTCTGAAGTTTGACTTCCTGCTGGAAATAAAACAAGATCACATCTTCACCCCTGCACTCGAACAAAGTCAAGATGGTTGCAGAGCTTAAAAACTCACCGCTGTGGGCAAACATAATCAGTGCTACTGGACAAAGGGGCATTTTTGTATTGATAAAACATAAAATAATAAAACACCAGTCACACGTATGGCTGAAAAAAGAAAGGAAAAGTGGTACCTTTGAATCTAATGAGCATATGATCCAGCAGTGGAATTTTGACTGGCATATTTACCCTGATTACTGTGTGCCGAGACAGTGGGTTGTTTAACAACGATTACCAACCTCCAGTCATTTCTCTTTTGTGAGCCTTTGTTTCACCAGCACTCTCAAATGTGCCATCTATAAATAAGCAGGAACTTAATTCTCTAAATCCAGGGCTGTGTTATTATGTGTAATCCTGTCAGAGGCTCTGGAAATACCTAGACCTTCATGGACCGCGCCGCCTCTGATAGGCCTGTACACAATCCCACTGACCGCCCTCTGCTCTCACAGACTAATTTAGAATGTACTGATACAATGAACTAGAATTTTACATTCCGTTCAAAAACTTACTGTCACAATGTTGCCATGGTGTTACTGCTAAGGTGTTATGAGTGGCTTTAGTGCATTATTATGCAGTTACTGAACATAAAATAAATATAAGCTTGATAGTTTAAGAATGAAGAATTTAGAATATAAATATTAGTATTGTAATTTTCAGGGTTATTATAATTAACTAAAACTAAAATTGAAACCATTAAAAAATTGCTATAAATGTTCACTGAAAAATAGAAAAATAAAAACTGATTCAAAATATTAATAAAAACTATAATAGTACCTCAATGATACTAACATTTTACAGTTAAAAAATTTTACAGTTAAAAAATATTACAAATATTTTTATTAAATATTTAAGTTTTTTTATTTATAACAAATATTGAATGTTTTACAGTATAATAGCATTATTACAAAATATTTGTTTAATATTTTTATTTAATAACAATAAAACCATAATTATATCAAATGGGTAAAAAATAGTGAGAATGTAGTCTATAAAACTAGAAAAGAGGTTTTTTTCTCATATATCTAAAAACTAAAAAATTTTCGAAAACAATTCAGCCCTAAAAGCCTGTTTGCACTCAAAAAGAGTAAAAAGTAATTTTTCTGCTTTTTAAGAATTTTTTTTTTTTTCTGTGCAGATGCTCACAAAATCACTCCAATCATTCATTCATGTTTTCATATCACAATATATTTAGCAGAAAAGCAAAATATCCCAATGTCATTTTTTTTTCAATATTCTGCAGTCCTAGTTCAAATCACTAACCCAATGTATGAGCAATATTGGTGATGCATTCTGTCATTTTAAAACTCAAAGTCTGCATTTCTCTGTGGCTCCTCGTCTTCTCTAGTCTGATGGAGCTATGGTCTGTCTCAGGTGCAGATTTGAGTGCAAGAAGGCGGGAGACCAATTACACACAAAAAGGATTAGTTACGTAACTGCAGATAACTGCGGAGGAAAAACTCTGCAAAGCCCAACACTGACAGTACTCTCATTTAAAAGAACTGAAAGAATCAGTCTCACTAGATTTGAACACTAAAACATTAATCATGAACCTAAAATGGCTTTTAGTTAATAGGCAATAAGCAAACATGCTCCCCTAAACTTTGATTTTATTGAATCGGTTCATCTGTACAATTCATTCAAATGAACAAATGAATAGTGATTCAGTCCCTTTAATGAATGTATCTTGGTAAACTACAGATTAGCAAGTATTAGTTAACAAGTGGCTCTGATCTTACACTACATCCAGTAAGATTTAAAATTAATAATAATAATTTATACATTTTTCAGCAAAGATGCATTAAATGAATCAAAAGTGACAGTAAAGACATTAATAATGTTACAAAAGAATAATTTTTCAAATAAATGCTGTTCTTTTGAACTTTCAGTTCACCTAAGAATCCTGAAAACACAACATTTTACAAAGCACAACTGCTTTCCTCATTGAATAAGTTCCGAAGGATCATGTGAGAGAGCATAAGAAACGTAAAATAATCTTAACGACCACAACATTTTGAACAGTAGTTAAACACAACGGCACAAAAAAAGAAACCAAGTAACCGACAAAATGTCCTGTCGTGGTCATGGCCAGTCTTTTTTGTCACTTTTACCCACCTTGAGAAACGTTTGCGATGGGAGACTCCTCGTGCCGCAGGTAAAACTTCACTTCCTGTCTCCTCTGACCCCATTTCTGTAGGTGCTCAAACATCAGCTGATCAAAAGGGATCGCTCTCTCTGTGAGAGAGAGAGACAGACACTCTTTGTTACAGTCAGGCTATAAAACCCTGCACTCTATGCATAGCACAGAAGATGTCAATGTCAAAACTGTTATAATACTTCTTTATTTTAATCTAATCCGCATGGTATGAAAACTTAAAAAGGAAAATGTCCTTTCTATTACATAATGGCCCCGTAGCAAAACACGGTGGCACGTCCAGATGAAAAAGGTCTGGCTATCCTTGCTGAAGGCTATCTTTACTGTCTTTGACAGTGCGGGCCGCGTGCCATGTGTGGGACACTAGAATAACAGGCCCGCAGGAACCATGTAAACAAACCTAGAGGCTGCGGCCCAGGCCCTGAGACGTTCTGACCCACATTCTACCACCCACTGTCTAGGACAAACTCTGACAAGGACGTCATTGTTATGTGATGGACAGTTTTCCTTTCTCTGTGGGATCTGGTCCATGAACGTTTCCATTCAGTGCTATTTAGTGATGTAAAAGCGCTAAGCAATACATCTGTATCTGTCAGCCATATTGAGCAGAGCATGTAGAAATCCGGCTGCACTATACATATGCCATGACGAAAGAACAGTCCTTGACGTTCAAAAGAGTTGAAAACAACGCTGACTCATGAGACTAGACAGACTAGAAAGCACTATATGATTTTACATTACGATGTAATATGTTGAATCGACACTAGTCTCAGACGGCTCACTTACGGGGCCCCATGAACCAATCAGGGCAATGTTGTTACTGTTATCTAAAACTAAATCTATTAAGCTTATTGAAAGAAAGCTGAAATTAAATAAAATATAAATATAAGACGAAAAACTTAACCTAACCTAAAAAACGTATAAATTAGAAATGTTGCTTTGCAAGAACAGGTCAAAAATACTAGCTAAATCTGAAGAGTTTATATTGTCTAAATTCAATCAAAGCCACATAGACTATTGATTTTTCCATACTGCTGGTTCGTCTGGTCAGAGGAGAACTGGCCCCCCGACTGAGCCTGGTTTCTCCCAAGGTTTTTTCTACATTCGGTCACCGATGGAGTTTTGGTTCCTTGCCGCTGTCGCCTCTGGCTTGCTTAGTTGGGGACACTTCATTTCCAGCGATACCATTGACTTGATTGCAAAGATACTATTTAAACTGAGCTGGATGTTGACATCACTGAATTCAATGATGAACTGTCTTTAACTGAAAAATTTGTGTTTACTATTGTCATTTTGCATTATTGACACACTATTTTCCTAATTAATGTTGTTCAGTTGCTTTGACACAATCTGTATTGTTAAAAGCGCTATATAAATAAAGGTGACTTGACTTGACTTGACTATTTATATTAGAACTTGCAAGTTCAAATATACTACCATTCAAACGTTTGGGGTTGGTTCGATTTTTCAGTGTTTTCAGTGAAGTCTCTCATGCTCACCAATCAAAAATCATCAAAAATAGAGTAAACACAGTCATATTTTGAAATAGTATTACATTTTAAAATAACTTTTCCTATTTGAACACATTATAAAATATAATTTATTCTTGTGATGGTAAAGCTGAATTTTCAGCAGCCATTACTCCAGTCTTCAGTGTCACATGATCCTTCAGAAATCCTTTTAATATGCTGATTTGCTGCTCAAGAATCATTTATTATTATCAGTATCAATGCTTCATATTTTTGTGTAAACTGTAATGCATTATTTATTTCAGGATACTTTGATCAATAGAAAGTTCAAAAGAAATGCATTTATTTGAAATATAAATCTTTTGCAACATTATAAATGCCTTTACTGTAATTTTTGATCAATGCAGCGAATCCTTGCTGAATAAAACACTTTCTTTTCCTTTAAAAACATCTTAATGACCCCAAACGTTTGAACAGTAGTGTATGTGCCAATAGACTGATACCTTTTCCTCTCCAGACCTCAGCGAGGTGGCAGCCGCTCTCCCCAGCTTCCTTACAGAATTCCACCACATCCTTACAGAGCGTCTCTGGGGTAATGGGCACCTCGGTCAGCAACTGTTGATTATCACTCAGAAATACAGTCAGAATCATCTGTAAAGAGGAAAGAATAACATCTTTCTTTGAGTGAACTTCCAGCCTCTCATTTTGACTGTGTGGGCTTCTCTTTAATCTCTCTTGCCTTGTCATAATTCTTGAACGGTTTACATTAATTTTCCCAGTGGTCTGCACCACAGCCATCTCATCAAATGAGTGCCAATTGCAAAGACAGATGGGAGCGAAATAAAAGGCATTCAAAAGTTGAGCTGAAATCAAGGGAATTGCATGTTTATTCTTCACACTGCCAAGAAAAAGTAATCATTATGCCTGACCTATTATCTCCCACGTACCAAAACATATTGGCAAGGACTTTAACCACACACAAAATGGAAAATATCTAAGCTTTATATGAGATTTAGGAAATAAACCTTTAAGATGGACAGCAAAGTCTGCGTCATACACAAACGTCAATCTACAAGTCATCCAGTGGGGTTTCTATCAAAGAGGATTAAGCTAGTGGTCAGGAAAATTGGATTAAGAATTGCCCCTCAAAAAAAATTTGATCAAGAAAATGACAAATACAAACTTTAGGTTCTTGGTTAAATGGCATTTGCCAGATTTTAGGTCGTGCTCACCTGTGCAATGCGGTGAGATGTCAAGTGGTATGATGAGAAATAATAATAAAATAAAATAAAAAATTACATTGAATTATTACATTAAATTAAATTAAATGAAAAAAGAAAATAATAAACTGGCTTTAAGCACCCCTTAAAATAAAAGAATATTTGAAAAATATATTTTGAAAAATATAAATCTGTCATTTTGGATTAACATTGGAGTACAGTAAGAATGACTGTAACAAATAAATCTCTTTAGGTACACCAGGCATTTGGGCAATGCGCGTATTTTATTACATCAGTCACCAATAAAATGTAAACACACTGATGTATCCTTCACTTCACTTAAAAATGTAAATACTGTATATCTTATAAATCCATCTGAATTCTATTCCAACCCAGGGCAGGCTTTACTCCTAAAGTGTAACACAATCCCTCCAAACAAGCAAGCAGCAGATTGAAAGAGAAATTCTGTAAGGGTTGGATTACAGGGCAGAGCTATAATAATCTGATTAGGAGGGGGTGCAAACATGCGAGCGTGTGGTTACAGAGAGCTAAGGAAACTGTTTCGCTAGCTGAAGCCAAACTAATCTAGAAAGGGAAATGCTGCTGTGATCTGTGAAGACGGCGGATAATCCCGACCTGGACAGCTGCCTGGAATTTTATTGTCAGGAGGTTTCATATTAAAATAGCTCAGGGCCAAAAAAAAAAAAAAGTTAAATCATGCTAACACGCCATCTGAACAATACAATTACTGGACCAAAGACAAACATTGTAAATCGATTAGATTTAAAGGAATAGTTCATCCAAAAATGAAAATTCTGCCATCATTTACTCACCCTCATGATATTTAAAACCTGTATGACTTTCTTTTTTAAGAACACAAAAGGAGATATTATGAAGTTTTAGTCCATGCAAAGAAAGTCTGCGGTGTCTAAAACTCCATTGGACGATTTTGATTGTATAAACAAAAACAAAACACAGACATTTCTTAAAATATCTTTTTTTTGTGTTCCACAGAAAAACAGGTTTGGAATGAGATGAGTGTGCTTAAATTATGACAGATTTTTCATTTATTGGAGAACTATCCCTTCAAATAATGAAGAAAGCAAATTGACAAGTATCGTTTTACATTAAAGGGATAGTTCACCTTCAGATGCTGGTCCCCACTGACTTACATAGTATGAAAAAAAAAACACTATGCAAGTAGATGGGGACCAGCAACTGAAGGTGAACTGTGCCTTTAAGGGTTCTGTTGTTAACTAGTTAGTTAATGTCAGTTAACAATGAACAATACTTCTAACCAATCAATTTTGAACATCAAAAGTTGTATCTGTTAACATTAGTTAATGCATTTTTAACAACTAACAATACCAAAGATGAATACATGCAGTAAAAAGCGTAAGGGTCATTGTTAGTTCATGTTAGCTTGTGTATTAACTAATGATAGTCTGTCTGTGAGTCCTGGGAAACACTGAAATGTAACTTCATCTTTTACTGAATGAACGTTCCAGATTCTATTTAAATAAACACAGAAAATAATTTAAACTTGTCCCTCAATTTGCATAAATAAACAAATAAAAACAGAGAAATTATAGACTTATAATGGAAAAATGAAATATACCCCATACTCATTTTAGACTTCCTTTTTAAGTGGATTTCTGTCAATATATATTTTTTGCTTGTTCTTACAAATTGAGAGAAGAGAATCATTTTCTCCTAATCAACAGCACTACCACAATTTTTCCAAACTACAAAAGCTTGCATGCAAGAAATAAACAACAATTTTATCCCAGCACGCCACAAACATGTGCGTGAAATAGCAATCTTTGATTTAACATATCCGCGATCCATTCCAACTATAGCAAGACTCCATTTAACACTCCTCACTTACACATGCACTTAAAAACAAATGTCAGTCTTCTGGAATCCGCCATGCCCCAGACATGTCCTGCTATTTTAAGCTGTACACAAGTGCCTAAACTTCTATCCTCAGCGTCCCCTCATCTGCCCCTATATTGCTTGTCCTAAGCCCTCTGGACTTTCACCTTAGTCGCCCCGTGTGGCACCTTGAGTTTCTGGTCTTCCTTCCCCTGCACCCGTGCTCTCTTCTGCAGCCAGGGCCTGGCCTTGGAGGTGCTGACCAGGCTGCGTAGCACCATACTGATAAACCTCCTCATGGAGCTCTGAGGCTGGGGTTGATGAATTGGAGGAGCCGAGCAGTCCAGGCACTGGGGAGCTGCCTGCTGCCACTGGAGTGTGTCTGTCTTCTCTCTCTGGGTGCCTGACTGTCTGTCTGACTGAGAGTGTGTGAGTGTAGATACTATAGAGTGGTCAAGGAAGGGGAGGGTGGGA